CGACGACCCTACGACGCAGTGCAATTGCACCGGGGTCCTACTATTTGACCTTGCCACTTGTCCTCATCTCCAACATGGGCTTGCTTTAGTCACACCACTTGACCACTTGCCTGCACCACTTGACCACTTGCCCGCACCACTTGACCACTTGCCTGCACCACTTGACCACTTGCCTGCACCACTTGACCACTTGCCAACCTTCTAGAAGGACTGCAGCTAGCCTTCTAGTCCTGGCTACCTATAGACCTACGACAGAGCTACCTACCACTGGCGGTTCTACAGGTCGCAGGTTCAACTCTTCGAGTTGACGCAGGTATTGTACACAGGTAAGTTGGGGAACTAGGGATCGAGCCCTGGGATCTACCTCAGCTACCACAAATTGGTGAATACCGTTTCAATGGTCACACTCGCAAGCCAACCAGCACTCAGACAGACATGCAGTCCAGCAAGAACGCACACACACAGACTTAGCAGGCGGGGAACTCGGTAGGGCATTCAGTCTATGAGCAAAACTCARAAATCAGCTGTGTGTTTCAGTCCGTGTTTGGACGGGTTGTCACATTTAAGTAAACACAGAACCCATTAAGAAACATTGCACTTGGTGCAGTAGTTGCTCCTATCCGAGGTCCTTTGTTCATATTTTTCATTCTATTGTTTTTTATAGTGACGGTGTAGTATTTCATCCAAAATGTATTGAATTACTTTCTTGAACTTTTTGATGATTTCCAACTACTGCAACAAGAGAACGATGGCAGACCACTAGGTGGGAGGCTATGGTGGACGGAAATCTCAGTCAAAGCACCTGTTACATGGTGGTAGCCAACTACGTGGGAGGCTATGGTGGACAGAAGTCAGAGAGCTACAAGCGGGAAGAACTTGGGCTATTCTTAGGTGGTTTACTGGTTGTTGTTGCTCGGTGGAGATGAAACTTTGCACTCAACTGGACTGGGAAGAACTTCCTGGAAAAGCTATTGTAGATTCGTGATACCATTGTTGAATAAAAATTAGCATGCTGAGTAARAGTCCTATGAATGATACTTTTACAAGCATACTCAACATTCTGTGGATGGCGTTCAGGTGACTGTGTAGAGAGAGAGAGGCGTTGGGATATTATCTTCTACCTTAATCTCTGTTTGCATCTACAAGTGTTTAAGTTGTTTGATCACAGCTGCGATTTGAGTTGCCTTCAGCAGATCCATGAATGGACGGCACTTGGCATGACAAGAAAAGGTACACAGTTTCATAACATAGCCTTCAACATTACTCAAAATTGTGGTGGTACTCATAGCCTTCAATATTACTCAAAATTGTGGTACTCAAAAGTTCCCGAAACAAAAGTGCAACAAGATCAACCATTCCCCAAAGCAGTTCCCCAACTGGGGAAAAAAAGAACCAAGGCTACCATCCTATCACTGGGGACGACCTCTTGGATTCTCCATTAGTCCACTCTTCAAGGAGAGGAGGTAAACGATTCCACCATGTCCTACTGGTGAGAGGAGCCAGGGCGCGAAACTGACCTCGCCAGCGGCCGTAAGCCTCGCTAGTCTGGACTCTCTACCCCAAGCATCCCACAACTATTCCCTAAATTTATTCACTTGTCCCCTCAAGGCTCTCCGGGTCCAATCACTCACTGTTGTAGTTCTGATCTAATCAATCAGGCAACTTTTTTCTTAAACCACCAGTACTTCCGAGAACTGCGCCTTGTTAATGGCCAGACAAAAGGAAACACAGCGACGTTTCCACTTGACTGAGTTTATACTAGCAGCCAGTGTTGCACATGCCGACCGTCGGTGACCCCTGACTGGTCGGCTGCCGACCGGCCGACCGGTCGGCTGGCCGGCACCTACCGGTCGGGGGTCGTCGGCACCCCGCAAATTTTTATTTATTTATTTATTTATTTCGGTCCAGAACCCCTAATAACCCCACAACCCCCCCATACCCACCCCAAATACCCCCATACACGCCCCCAAACCCACAAACCGGCCCCCAACACCCTCATAACCCCCCCAAATACCCCCTATACCACCCCTATACGCCCCTATATCCCCCTATACACCCCACCCCCAACCCCCCCATCCCCAAAAGTTTCTCAGCGGATTTGGGCTGTACTCAGCAAGCGCAGTACAGCTTCCAACTCAGATCTGAAAAACAAATTAGTGGATGGTTGTTTTCTGACTGGTCGGCAGACCGCCGACCGGTCGGCCCTACTGGTCGGCTGCAATACGGTCGGCGGTCGGGGTCGGCGGTCGGCAGGGATGCAACCATGCTAGCAGCCCAGGTGCATTCATCCTGAAAGTCACGGCTGTTAACGATCCGCGACTTTGGGAAGTACTAGTGGCGTAATTGCTATATCTGAGATATATTGTCCTTTTAAACAGCTTGTACTGTAAAATGGAAACCAACAAACAGGGAACCCTCCTGCGGCCTTCATCAGGAAAAAGACATGCAGAAATCTGCGCAGTACATACCCGAGATCGTCAGAGAGAAGGGAATGGGAAGAAGCAAGGAAAACGTGGAGGAAACGAAGTCAAGCTCGTCTTAAACCACCAGCACACAGCCCCAGCCTTGTGGAAAAGTTTGTCACCTACTCCGAAAATTTTGCGGCTGGGGCCTACTGGACCACGATGGCTGGCGGTGCCAGCCAAAAAAGAAAAGAAGTGCACCACTGGCGGTTTGGAAAAGCTTGGCATGCGGTGCAGCGCCTTCAGGCCCGGGTGTACTCGTGGTTTCACCATTCGACAGAATCTCCAATTCCGATACAGAATCACCAGCTGCAAATTCCATAGAAAGACGATTAGAAGAAAGCAAGAGATCTATAAAAGGTAAAACAAACGAGGTGTGTACCCCCAAGAGAAGTCGATGGCAACAACAACATGAAAGAAATTAGATTTTGAGTTCTATAGAGGCCAGCGCATACCATTCCAGCCACCAGGTCCAGCATAGGCTGCCCACTCATTATTTTCATCCGCAATTTTGGTTATCCTGCACCATCATGCCCATGGCCCATGGGATTGAGATTTGAAACACAACAAAAAACAAGCCGCAAGACGGCACAAGTGATTGGGTCAGCCACTACTCACAGTAGCCCAGAACAACTTTCCATGCTCACAACTTGCCGGGTTGACTATTTCTTTTCTTTTCTTTTTTCTTTCTTTTCTTTTTTTTTTCTTTTCTTTTTCTTTTTCTTTTTCTTTTTCTTTTTCTTTTTTGTAAACCACGGCCCTTCTATTCTGGGGGGCAACAGTCTGGTTGCTTATTACCGGCAAGCATGTTTTTACATCCAAGAAATAAGGGAAGGGGGGGGGGGGGGGGGGGGGGGGGGGGGGGGGGGGGGGGGGGGGGGGGAGGATGAGAAAGAGGATCAGGCTGTCCCTTGTGACACTAGCCGCCTAGCAAGAGGTGCAAAGAAAATGAGCGATAGCGAAATTCAGAAACCAAGCCGCATCATACACATGAAACCAGATAGTCTTGACCTCGAACCAAAACCAGAATTGCAACTCGAGTTACACCAAATAAGAGCACAGAAGAGCTCACAAATGACAATGTGGGAATAGTCTCGTCATCATCATCAATGAACCAATGTCGTTTCCCTATCTGGCGCTCGGGTGGCAGATCCTATCTAGCCTATCTACAATGCCGCTGGTGACATCAACAGCTTTCCGAAGTACGAGCAGATCTCAGCTAATGCCGTTCGCATCAAGCACCAGGTATGTCCCTCTCTTCGCTCACAACCTCGATCCTCCACACAGACGCCACATGCACCCGAAGACCACCATGCACCCCATCCAGCAATGCACAGGCCAGCCCGGCTCTGGCTGCCCACATCCACCCTGCTCGCCCGTGAGCGCGTAGGCACTCGCTCCAGCAGCTGGCGCAGCAGCGCTTGCGCATAAGAAGCGAGTGCCCGAATCTCTGGCCAGTGGCCAGGCCCCCCTTCCTTTATGGAAAGTGGCTGCCAGTCATGGGCTGCCTGGCTGGCCTGGGTCTCTCCCCGGAAGCTTCCGGTAGGCCCCAAGTGGCTGAGCCCCTGTCCCAGGGAATCTTCAACAGGGCCTGGGGTGGTTACCTGTGTCCAACAGCCAAGCGGCCTGTGTTCAGTTCATGCCCCGTGTCTGGCCCAGGGCCTGCCTCGGATACATTTGGAAAAAGGCAGGCAGGGCCTGGGTTCACTCAACCAAATGACGCCGCGCAACTGCCTGAAATTTCCCCCAGGTGCGATTAACACAAAAATAGGCCTCTCGTCACTTGGCAGGCCCGCCTTCACTTAGGGCGGCCGTGCATGCTGGAAACAGGGCCCCGTAGGGCTTGCCGAGGCTTAGGGCCTCGCAGAGGGGACTGTTAAAGGGCTTCCCTTCCCCAATCCGTGGCCTTCCTTAGGGGCTTGCCCTGCTGGTCGGGAGGCTTGCTTACAGCACCCAGTCACACAGCAGGGTAAACTCCAGGAAGGCAGGACGCAGGGGGGGCGTTCCTTAACAGTTCCTCAGGCCGTATAACAGCTGTCTTTATCCTGTTACTACCTCGTACAGTACCTCATCCAACCAGTATCACCATTCAACTATACCCCATAACCTTGCCTGTCCCCCTATCCCAGTTCAGACTATTTCCACCCCTGAATTGTCGTACAACCTTCTAACCCAGTTGTTACATGCCCAGTTGGGCGATGTATATATATAAACCAAGGATCCGCAATGTGATGAAAAGGACTGAATGGACAATGCAGTGCAAGTGAAATCTTAGCTAGCAGGGTACATTCTGAATCTCTGATACATACAAAATGGTGCTTTACAGCGCAGTGGAAGACAATGGATACAAGTCCTGACCTGATCGGGACTGACCTCTCTCACGTAGTACAAGATAGCGCAGCAGAATACTAGAATACTAATGACTAACCCAATCAATGTTACAACGCAGACCAAACATACATCAT